GAGGGCAGGGGCTAGGGTAAGGGGGGTGTGGGGGACGGGGGGCGGTAAGGAGGTGAGAGAGGCGCCTCCGGCCTCGACCCCAGAGAAGAAATGGGGGGGCTAGGGTGGAGAAGGTGTGGTGGCCCGCGCCACCCCGGCCCCCCCGCTCCCAGCTCGCCTCCCCCCCCCCCCCCCCCGGATGGGGGGATGAGACCCCCCAGAAAAAAAAAACGGTTGGGGGCTAGGGTGAGAGGGTGTGAGGCAGTGTGGGAGCTCAGGGGGTGAGCGAAAGAACCCCCCGTGTGAGGAGGGCATAGGGTATGAGGGGGCTGTGGGAAGGGGCTCCCCAAGGGGTAAGGGTTGGCGTGAGAAGAAGGGTCTAGGGTGATGTTGGGTGAGGAACGAATAAAGAGAATGCCCCCCTCCCCAGGCGCCGCCACGAGAAGTTATAGAAGAAGAGGGCTAGGGGTGTGGAGGGGCTTTGGGTGAGGGGGTGTGAGTTGGGTAAGGGTGAGGGTGTGAGGGGCTAGGGTGAGGGGTGTCAGAGGGGGGCCTAGGGTGAGGTGTGAGGGGGGCTAGGGGTGAGGGGTGTGAGGGCTAGGGGGTGAGGGGTGTGAGGGGCAAGGTGAGGGTGTGAGGGGGCTAGGGTGAGGGGTGTGAGGGGGCTAGGGTGGAGGGGTGTGAGGGGGCTAGGGTGAGGGGTGTTGAGGGGCTAGGGTGAGGGGTGTGAGGGGGCTAGGGTGAGGGTGTGAGGGGGCTAAGGGTGAGGGTGTGAGGGGGGGGGAGGGTGAGGGGGTAGGGGGTGAGGGGTGAGGGGCTGTGAGGGGGCTAGGGTGAGGGGTGTGAGGGGCTAGGTGAGGGGGTGAGGGGGCTAGGGTGAGGGGTGTGAGGGGGCTAGGGTGTGAGGGGGCTAAGGGCTGAGGGGTGTGAGGGGCTAGGGGGGGTGTGAGGGGCTAGGGTGAGGGGTGTGAGTAGGGGTTAGAGGGTGAGGGTGTGAGGGAGCTAGGGTGAGGGTGTGAGGGGGGGTGAGGGGTGTGAGAGAAGAAGGCTAGGGTGAGGGTGTGAGGGGAAGGGTGAGGGGCTAGGGTGAGGTGTGAGGGGGGCTAGGGTGAGGGGGTGAGGGGGCTAGGGTGGGGTGGTGAGGGGGCTAGGGGAGGGGTGTGAGGGGGCTAGGGTGAGGGTGTGAGGGCTAGGGTGAGGGGTGTGAGGGGCTAGGGGTGAGGGGTGAGGGGTGTGAAGGGGTGTGAGGGGGCTAGGGTGAGGGGTGTGAGGGGGATAGGGTGAGGGTGTGAGGGAGGTAGGGTGAGGGTGTGAGGGGCTAGGGGGGAGGGTGGAGGGGCTAGGGTGAGGGGTGTGAGGCTAGGAGGGGTGAGGAAGAGAGGGGGAGGGGTTAGGGTGAGGGGTGTGAGGGAGGTGTGAGGGGGCTAGGGGGTGAGGGGTGGGGGGGGGGGTGTGGGGAGGGGTGGTGTGAGGGGGCTGGGTGAGGGGTGTGAGGGGGCTAGGGTGAGGGTGTGAGGGGCTAGGGTGAGGGGTGTGAGGGGGCTAGGGTGAGGGTGTGAGGGGCTAGGGTGAGGGGTGTGAGGGCTAGGTGAGGGGTGTGAGGGGCTAGGGTGAGGGGGGTGAGGGGTGAGGGGGCTAGGGTGAGGGGTGTGAGGGGTAGGTGAGGGTGTGGGGGGCTAGGGTTGAGGGGGCTAGGTGAGGGGTGAGGGGGCTAGGGTGAGGGTGTGAGGGGGCTAGGGTGAAGGGGTGTGAGGGGGGCTAAGGGTGAGGGGTGTGAGGGGGCTAGGGTGAGGGGTGTGAGGGGGCTAGGGTGTTAGGTGGGGTGAGGGGGCTAGGGTGAGGGGTGTGAGGGGCTAGGGTTGAGGGTGTGAGGGGGCTAGGGTATGGGCGTGAGGGGCCTAGGGTGAGGGCGTGAGGGGGTTAGGGGGGGTGGAGGCGCTCACGCGATCCCGAGGCTCGTGACGCGCGGCGCGCTTACCCGCCCCCCCGCCTCCCGCCCGCCGGCCCGCCCTCCCGACCCCCCCGCCCCCCCAAAAAAAAAAGAAAAAGTGTGAGGTAAGTGGACCTACGAAAGGATGAAGGGGGGCTTGCGGGCGGCGGGGCTAGGTGAGGGCGTGTGAGGCGCTGGGGGTTTGTAAGGGGGTGAGGGTGTGAGGGCTAGGGTGAGGGTGGTTGGAGGGGCTAGAGTGAGGTGGTGAGACTAGGGGAGGGGTGTGAGGGGCTAGGTGAGGGGGTGTGAGAGGGAATATAAAGAGAAGAGTGAGAAGGTAGTGAGGGACAGCCGCGCTCGACGGGGTGTGAGGGGCTAGGGTTGAGGGGATGGTGAAAGGGGGAGTCTTACGCGCGCCCGACGCCCGCCCCGTAGGAAAGGGGGGCTAGGGTGAGGGGTGTAGGCTAGGCTGAGGGGTGTGAGGGAAGAGTTAGGGTGCGGCGCGGTGTGTGAGTCGCTAGGTGAAGGGTGTGAGGGGCTAGGGTGAGCGGCGTGAGGGGACCTAGGGTGAGGGGCTGTGAGGGGCTAGGGTGAGCGGGAGAAAAGAGATGAAAAAGATGAGAGGAAAAGAGAGAGAGATTAGAAAGGTGCTCAGGGCTAAAGGAAAAAGAGGGGTGTGTAGTGCTTAGGGTAGGGTGTGAGGGCTAGAGTGAGGGAGGGAAGTGACTAGGAGGAGAAGAAGAGGTGTGAAGAGAGACAGAGTGAGGGTGGAGGGGCTAGGGGAGGGGCTAAGGTGAAGGCGGGAGAACTGGGTAAGGGGGGACTATGGTGAGGGGCTGGGTACCCACCCGCGCCCGCCACCTGAAGGCGGAAACATGATGGTTGTTGGGTGGGATGGTACTTCCTGGTAAGGTCCGTGTGGAAAAGTTCTGGAGAATATCGGAGAAGTATTGGTCATAAAGGGTGTAGTAAAGAGTAAGGAGAGAGGAGAAGAAAGGAAAGAAGAGAGAGAAAGAGAAAGAAAGAGTTTTGTGAGAACCGTGAGAAAAATATATTAAATAGGTGTAAATGAAGGTAATGGCTAGGATTTAACATGTATGATGAGAAGTTGATGAAGCAGAGTGGAGAGAGAGAGAGAGAGGGAAAGAAGAAAGAGAGAGAGAGAGCAGATAACAGGAGACAAAGAGACAGATAGATAGATAGAGATAAAGGACAAAGAGAGAGAGAGAAAGAGAAGAGAAGGAAGAAAAGAGAGAGAAAAAGAAAGAAGGAGAAGAGAGAATAAAAAGAGAAAGACAAACACAAAGAATGAAAAGGGAACACAGAAAACAACAACAAACAAACCCAAAAGTCAATCTTCCAAGCAAATCCCCCGCCCGCCTTTTAGCCAAGGAAGACGCAGCAAACACACAGAACCTAATCTTGTAGAAATGCCTATGGTCAGCCTGTCAATCATCAGTCCCCATCGCATTAGGCTGAACGCAATCATCTGATTAGGAAAAACCCTTTTAACGTTATCTGTACCGCCTAGGAGAGCCTAATGTCTACCTACCCTATAATACACTTAACATACAACTAGACAGAATTAATAAAGCTCTCCAAGATAAATAGACAGAGATAAAGCTCTCCAAAATTGCTCCATTAAGTAATGAACATCGAGACTAAGAGACAGGAACCATTACGATAACAGAGTAAACAGGAACGACAAGAGAGATTGATCTGTGCATGATACAACATGTTTCAGAGAATACTGATACGCATTGCGCTCCCTATTTACACCACACCGACCACTGTGGCGTGTGTGTGTGCAATATCAGAGCAACATTCCTCTTGCATGAGATGGTTACGTGTTCATTTTCTTTTCAACTTTGCAATGACTCACCATCAGACAGATAAAGACTTAGAGGGAATGATAAAAAAGGTTGTGGTTATGGATGTGATTGATGGATGAGTACTTGTATTGGAGATTGGAGATAGACGAAAAACACATGATACAGAAGATAGGCTGAATAGATAAAAAGATGATAGATACTAATAGAGAAGCTAGAGCACGACATACGCTGTGGTGTGTGTGTGTATATTTGATATGATGTACCATGATTAGCATATACACTGATACATATTACATATAACAGGCCATATTACATATAGCTTAAATATGACATTACATAACATATACATATACATTACATATTATGTATGGGTAGTATGATGTATGTATGTATGTAATGTATGTATGTATGTATATATATAATAGGTAGTAATATATTTACACGATACATACAGTACGCATAATACTAACATAGCATATACATATAATAATATGTAATTATAGATATATGAGTATATTAGTATATATATATATACATAGATATATGGTATGTTGGTATGTATGTAATGTATGTAATGTATAGTAATGTATGCTATATATGTATAAAGTACATGTATATATAAAGTACATATATATATATATATAAAATAGTGATATATATATATATATATATATTATATAGTAGTATATACGTATAAGAAGATATACTATATATTAGTATAGTGGTGTGTGTGTGGTGTGTGTGTGTGGTGTGTGTGTGTTGTGTGTGGTGTTGTGTGTGTGTGTGTGTGTGGTGTGAATGATAGAGTAGCAAAGTTTGGACAGATAGATGAATAGAGAATTTTTAGATACACAAGTTAAATAGCGATATGAAGGAATAACAGAGAGAGAGAGAGAGAGATAGAGATAGATAGATAGATAGATAGATAGATAGAGAGGATGTGAGAGAGAGAGGGAGAGGAGAGAGAGAAGAAAGAAGAGAGATGAGGAGCAGAGAGAAAGAGGAAAGAGAGAAAGAGAGAGAGAGAAATGAGAGATATAAGAGAGAGAAAGAGAGAGAGAGAGAGAAGAGAGAGAGAGAGAGAGAGAGAAGATTAGGAGAGAGAGAGAGAGAGGAGAGAGAGAGAGAGAGTAGAGAGAGAGAGAAAGAGAGAGAAGAGAGAGAGAGAGAAAGAGTGAGAAAGATGAGAGAAAGCCCGAAAACCACCACCACAAAGGAAAAAAAGAAAAAAAAGAGAAAAAGGAAAATAGCACCAAGAGGGAGAAGGAAGAAAAAGGAAAAAGGAAAAGAAAAGGAAAAAGGAAGAAAGTAACAAAGAAGAAAAAAGAGCCACCAAGAAAAAAAAGAAAAAAAAAAAGAAGGAGGGAAAAAAAAGAAAGAGAAAAAGAAAAGAAAGAAAAAAGAAAGAAGAAAAAAAAGAAAAGAGAAAAAGAGAGAGAAGAGAGGAGAAGAGAGAGAGAGAGAGAAAGAGAGAGAAAAAGAGATGAGAGAGAAAAAGAGAGAGAGGAAAGAGAGAGAGAGAGAGAGAGAGAGAGAACAGACAGACTGACAAGAGAGAGAGAGAAAGAGAGACAAGAAGAAGAAACAGACAGACTGGACAGAGAAGAGAGAGAGAGAGGAGAGAGACAGAGACAGACAGAGACAGAGAAAAGAACCAAATAAAAAGCACAGCTCCAGTAAACGAAAGAAAGAAAAGAAAGAAAGAAAGACAAAGGCCATGACATAAAAAAACAATCAACAAAAGACGGAAGCAGAAGAGAGACGAATGATAATAAACACAAGACTACGACACAAATGAGCAAGAAAAGCGAAGTGCCACCTGGGAAGCAGCGGAGCCCTCACGTCGCAAAATATTTTCCTTGGCACCGGCGGGAAGTGGCTCTCCGAGTGTATTTCTTGCCGGCCGGAGTGTCGTGAGAAAGCTAGTCCTACAGCCGGGTCCCATAAAGCCTCCAGCGCCGCCTTGGTCGCCGATATCAGGAAAACATTTGCGATTCGCTGAAAGGGAGTTCACGGCGAGGGAGGCTTTCTTTACCGTGGGGCAATGGGGGGGGGGGGGTAGTAGGCGAAAGTGTGTTCCTGGTTTCTCTCTGTTTTCTTTTGTCTGTTGTTTGCCTCCTGTCTCTTTCTTTCTCTCTATGTCTGTCTGTATTCCCTGTCCTCTTCCTCCTCCCATCTCCCCCCCCTCTTCCTCTTTCTCTCTCCCTCTTCCTCTCACACTCCTTTCCCTCCCCCCCCTCTCTCTCTCTCCCCCTCCTTTCCTCTCCTTTTTTCTCTCTCCTCTCTTGTCTGTCTTCCCTCCTCTCCTCTCTCTCTCTCTCTCTCTCTCCTCTCTCTGTCTGTCGTCTGTCTCTCTCTTTCTCTCTCTCTCTCTCTCTTCCTCTCTCTTTCCCACACCAACCCGAAACCAACACGTAAAATCACCATCATCGCCGCCTAAATTCTAACTAACGGTCTGACCTCCATCGATTTGTCATAAACTAGGAGCATTGCCCCAGAAGCTTGTTTTATGCACTAGGCTGAACCTCTAGTTGACCTTGGGTTGCCATGGTAACCGAGGACAGCCATCTAGAAAACGAGGGCAACAGAATTGGGACATTTTTTTCTCTCTCTCTCTCTCTTATTTTGTCTATCTATAATTTGTATTATCAGTTTCGGGATTAAACAACAGCATCACACAAGCCCAGTGTTATAGTCTGGCAACACGGAAAAGAACCTTGGTAGCAAATAATGACCTAATGTGACAGGGGGAGCTTTCCCGGGGGTTAGAAGGGCATTTCAACCTTACTCTTGATATGTAGTTAAAATGGTCTAGGGTATTTCCCATATGGAAGAATGAAGCCGTTATCTTAAGCTGGTATCTGAGTGAGATAGATAGAAGATAGAAAAAGAGATAGAGAGAGAGAGAAGGGAGAGAGAGAGAGAGAGAGAGAGAGAGAGAGAGAGAGGAAGAGAGAGAGAGAGAGGAGAGAGAAGAGAGAGAGAGAGAGAGAGGAGAAGAGAGAGAGAAGAGAGAGAGAGAGAGAGAGAGAGAGAGAGAGAGAGAGAGAGTTGTGTGTTAGACAAATTGAGAAAAAAAAAAATATGCTCAATAATTCATAAAGCTTATAGTACGGTTGCATTTGAAAATTACAGAGCAGTAAAAGTTAATCTTCAGAGACAAGCATTAGTATCACCTGGAGTCATTTTTATTCACATTATGATTTTCATGACCAGGCAGCGCTGACAACATACACGTTCTCGCTCTCCCCACCTTGGTCTCGCCCCCCCCCCCCCATCTCGGTCTCTCTCCTTCTTCCCTCTCTCTTTAACCCCCCCCCTTCTCCCTCTGTCTTTGTCTGACTGTCTCTCTGTCTGTCTGTCTTTCTATCTCTCTCTCTCTGTTTGTCTGTCTCCCTAACTCTATCTCTGTCTGTCTGTCTATATGTCTTCCTATTTTTTCCTACCTGTCTACCCACCTGTCTATCTATTGCCATCTCAAATAAAACTTTCCACACAAGCACAGTTATAATATATGCATTCTACATTCTCTCACGTACACACACACATACCGAGAATTTATCTCAATATCTATCATTCTATTTTGTTATCCTTTGTGTGTGTCTCTCTCTGTGTGTTTGACTGACTCTCTCTGTCTCTGTCTCTGTCTCTCTCTCTCTCTCTCGCTTTCTCTCACACTCTCTCTCTCTTTCCTCTCTGTCTCTCTTTCCCTCTCTCTCTCTCTCTCTCTCTCTATCATCCTATCTACCTATCCATCTACCCAAGAAACTCCAAAACAAGACCATTCACGCCACACAAACCCTACGTTATACAAGAGAAACCCATTCATAAATAATTCGGCGCGACCTACGACGCATGACTAACAAGGCGTGACTCAGAAACATGAATGACAACGTGACTCATTCTATTGACTCACGAAAAAAGAGCGATGAGGGAGTTTATGAGTGTGGTGGAAGTGTGAGGGAGAGAGGAAATGAAGGAGTGGGGAAGATGAGAGAGTGCTGGAGGACGGAAAGGGGTGGAAGAAAATATGATAATGATTATGATAACAATAATAGTGATTATGATAGTAATTACAAAATTAATAATAGTAATAATAATGATAATGATAATGATGATGAGGATGGTAACAATAATATTGATAATGATAATGATGATGAGGATGGTAACAATAATATTGATAATGATAATAACAATAATGATGATAATGATGGACAATGATAATAATAATGATGATAACAACAATAACGCTAGTAACAATAATGATAATAACAATAATAATGATAATGATAATAATAATAATAATGATAATAATAATAATAAGTAACGGGAGGAGATGGAATTAGTAAAGAACGGAGGCAAAGGAAGGTCAAAATATGAGTATGAAGAAGGAGGGCGATAGACTAAATGGGAAAGGAGGAGGAGGGAAAATGATAACGAGGGAAATGGGGGAATTGAAAGGAGATTAAAGGGAATAGGCAAAATGGGTAAGGTAAGGAGGGGGAAGGCGAAGGGGGAATTAAATAGAGAACGAGGGAGGGATTTCAAATGGGGAACTGAGGGAAGACGAAATTGTAGGAAGAATTAGCAATGAACAGGAAATATGAGAGAGAGAGAGAGAGAGAGAGAGAGAGAAGAGAGAGAGAGAGAGAGAGAGAGAGAGAGAGAGAGAGAGAGAGAAGAGAGAGAGAGAGAGAGAGACGAGAGAGAGAGAGAGAGAAGAGAAAGAGAGAGAGAAATGAGAGAAAAAAAATCTTAGATAAGCAATCCAATAGATAAATTTACAGAGGTGGAAAAGGCAGGTGGGTGGGAGGTAAGGAGGGAGAAGGAGGGAGAGAGGGAGGGAAAGGAGGCAGGGAGGGAGAAAGAGGGAGGGAGGGAGGGAGGGAGGGAGGGAGGGAGGGAGGGAGGAGGGAGAAGATGAGAGAAGAGAGACATGGAGAGGGAGGGAGGAGACAGAGAGAGAGAGAGAGGGAGAGAAGGGAGAGAGGAGGGAGGGAGGGAGGGAGGAAGGAGGAGGAGGGAGGAGGAGGGAGGTAGATAGATGGAGAAGGAGAGAGAGGGAGAGGGAAGGAGAGAGAGATAGGAGGGGAGGGAGGAGAGAGAGGGAGGAGGGTCGTATGGGCTGTATCATAAAGGAATTCGTTAAAGTATTGACTGCCGTAAAGAGAGCTTCACTGGCGGGGGGCCCTGCGCTCGTTGTCAAGGAAAGCCGCCGTTTTGTCTGTGAATTGTTCTTAGTTTTCTTCGTTTTCGTCTTTCCGTTGTCTGCCTCGCATTTCCTCCGGGTTGGGAAGTGTCTGTGTCTGTCTGTTTGTCTGTTGTGTTGTTGTTTCACTGTCTCTTTCTTTTCTCTGTATGGATATCTGTTTGTCTGTCTTGTTTTATCCCTGCTTATCTATTCATCTCTCCTTCTCTTGGTCTGCTTATCAGTCTCTAATCTCTCTCTCAGTCTCTTCTCTCTCTCTTTCCTTCTCGCTCTTCCTATCTATCTTTCTTTTCCTCTCCATCAGCCGCGGCCTCTCTCCCTCAGTCGGGAAGCAGGCAAAGACACATTGCACGCAGCCGAGAGTCTCGTCTTGCAACAAGCCTGGTGCAACTTTCAGTTCCGAAACTTCTTGCCACAATAACTGTTTTAACTAGAGTTGAACACGTTGCACCGCTTGCCGTGTTTATCAGCGAAATTCTCTTAAAAGTCTGTAGAAAAGTTCTTCCAGGATCGATGGGGTCGAGTCCTGGCCGCGGAAACCATCGAACTGGCCTCCTCTTGGGGAACGAGCGAGCCTTTTAAGGGCAGAGAGCTTTTTAATGTCAGTGCTACTTGCTGCTTACTGCTTTTTTCCCCTTTTTTAAGTGGCCTAGTGGAAGATGATAAAGAATAAGAGTAGAATGATATTTCTCTTTTGTGGGACTCGCTGTTTGTCTGTTTCTCTTTCTCTATCTCTTCCCCTCCACCTTCTCTCTCTCTCTCTCTCTCTCTGTCTCTTCTCTCTCTCTCTCTCTCTCTTCCCTCCTCTCTCTCTCTCTCTCTCTCTCTCTCTCTCTCTCTCTCTCTCTCTCTCTCTCTCTCTTCTCTCTCTCTCTCTCTCTCTCTCTCTCTCTCTCTCTCTCTCTCTCTCTCTCTCTCTCTCTCTCTCTCTCTCTCTCTCTCTCTCTCTCTCTCTCTCTCTCTCTCTCTCTCTCTCTCTCTCTCTCTCTCTCTCTCTCCCTCTCACAAACACACCACAATTATTCCCGGAATCGCATGCAGCTGCACACGCTCGTCCTCGTAGAACTCATATTGTAAACAGAACAAACTACGTCCCATTACATGAAAATATTAGACACAGAAAACATTTGAGAGACTAACACTAATACTCCAAACAATTACTAACACTTTTTCTCTTGTTTTCGTAATCTATCGATATTTTTCTCAATTTGAGAAAAGCATGTGCAAAAAGCCAATTCCAATACACATTTTCTCTCTATTTTTTTTTTAAATGGAAAATAGAGACGGGAATAAGCCTTGAGAAAAGGAAAGAAAAAAGGAAGGAAAAAAAAAGCGAAGGCGCCTTATGCCCAGACGGGAAGAGGCCACAAGGAAAAAAACGTAAAGGCGCCATATGCCTCTTGTATCAGCCGGGAAAACAGGTGAATAAGCCGGTATTGACCGCGCGGACGGCTGCTCTCCCGCTCTGCAGCCGAGGTACGTCTTGAGCGCCCTGGACAGGTGTGACCAGGTGGCTCGATTCCAGGTGCGCCAGGTGGTAGCCGAGGCAGCACAGGTGGATGAGGCTGGAATGTGGACGTGCATCCCACAGGTGAAATAGTGTTTAGGTGAGTTGTTTCGCTGGAAGGTGGGTGTGGAGTGGGGGGGGGGGGGGCTGGGAAGGTGGTAAGTGGTGGGGGTGGGGGTGGGGGGGGCTGGGAAGGTGATAGGTGAGGGGGTGTATAGGTGAAATACGATATAGGTACTTGCAGGAAATATTTAGGTGAGGGGAGATACCAGAGGAAAGGGACAGCATTTCCCACGTAAAGCAACGTAAGAGCGAAAGTGTGGCGATGTGCATGCAAAACAGTCTAGCAAGGTAATGCAATACGTAGTTTAATTTAGCCCAGGCGAGATGGTGCCCAGGCGTTGGAGCATAAGACTGATACGGTGTACACGTAAAACAGGAAAATAATCCGTAGGTGAAGACGGACCACAAGTGAAGTACGGCCTAACATCGAAATGACTAATTCACGTCTGGATTGTGTTCGGGTGAAAACAGTGACTAATGGCGGCCATGCACTAACACTCGCGGGCCAAACGAGGCTTGAAACAGGAACCATAGATGAGGCAAGGTGAGGAAAGCTAAATCATGCTTGACGGAGATAAGACCGTACCGACAGATAGTGGAATGTCCTCACTCGGCCCCGCCCACCCCTTCCAATCCACTCTGCCCTCCAAACCGCCTTCACTCCACTCTACCACGCCCACCAAGCCTGTCACTCCTTCCCTTCGTGAGGAA